TTGAGGTTCAACTAATTCGTAATATTATTGTATTTTTTTAAACCATTTTGCAAGGTACAAATACGAACTTATTGCCAAGGCATTATCTTTCAGCCAAATAATTAATTCTGCATTTTATTAAAGTCCATGCATGATGCTTTTCTTTGGTACCTACAAACAACATTACCATTTTACATACATTGTCGATTTATTCTAAACAATGAAATACTATTCGACGTCCTAAAAATACACATCAACCAACAATTTTATTTTTTGTGGTTCTAAAAGGAATGGTTCTTTAGAATTACGACCGCTATAAATCCCTTTCAAGCAGAAGGTGTAAAAAGCTGGGAATAAAAAATATTATGATCATTGAGAGGAATAAAAAGATGCGTCAATCACCCGTCAGGTAGTGACAGGGTTAAATGATTTAAGGGCTTCTGTAGTGTGAGATATAAAGACAGCATATCAAGCTAACATTGTGTATTATGTAGTTGGAATAAGTGTCATTTTGTAGTAAAATATGTATCAGACTAAGCACAAACATCGCGGCATCGATGCAATGGGGAATGAAGGGACGATCCATTCTACCCATTTCTGAAGTACATAACATACAGTAGGATAAATTCGAAAAATCGTTAAACGATCTATTTTACTATACGGTCTATGAAACTTCTAAGTTTAACCCCCTCTGTGGTCTAGTAGTAAGACGACCTTCAGACCCAGGGGTCCCGCGTTAGATTTCCAGTGGGGACAGATTTTTCTGATAGGTTATTTAGTTGGTGGTAGGGCTTGTTCTAAGTCCTTCTGGCTAGCTACCACCATCTTTCCTACGTCTGCTGCCATAATACAACAATTTCAAACGACATTGTTGTGTTCCGGCAGTTAGAGATAAGATACGAGGGGCGGCTGAAAAGTTTTGAGCCTAAGTATCTTCAAGTGTTATTATTGACTCGCGCTAAATTTAATTAATTAGCCAATAACCTCCTTAGTATATGTACAAAGTTTCATTTCATTAGTGTCATCACGCTTTTAGTAATTAATTCGTAAACACCATCATGTCTCAGTCATCCGCGCAATGTACGAAATTGAAGTTTAAAGTTGTCATAAAATTCCTCAAAAAGAGGAACAAAACGCTGACGGTAACATTTGAAGAGATGTCTACAGTTTATGGGGAGTCTTGGCCTTCATTTGCTATCATGAAAGATTGGATTCGATAATTCAAGCATGGCAGGGAGTCGCTAAAAGATGACCTCAAGTCAGGGCGGCCAGATTTCGCCATTAACGAATAAAATAATGAAAATTTAAAGAATCTTGCTTTAGAGATTAGCGAATTAAGCTGTGACAGATAGCTGAAGCCATAGGCAGTAGCAAGAAATGTATCGGCGATATTTTTCATACTCATTTGCACATGAAAAAGGGGTGCACGCGATGGGTGCCAAAAATGCTCACGCCGCTCAACAACTAGCGTCGAGTCACAACTTCGCAGGAGTTTTAGGCCATCTTTGACCATAATCCTAACAATTTTTTTTCTCACATTATTACTATTGATAAATAATAGATCCGGCAGTACGATCTAGAGTCAAAATAAGAGTCAATGCATTGGATTCAAAAGGGAAAACGACGCCGCGGAAATTCAAAGTGGAGCGATCGACACCCAAGCTCATAGCCACTATTTTTGGGATTGTGAAGGAATTTTATTCATTGACTACCTATTTAAAAAAACTACAATAAACGGGGATTATTATGCTGTACTGTTGATAGGAGTGCGTCAAGTGGTTGTTGAAATATTAAGAGGCAAACTGGCGAAAGGAAATCTGTTCCTGCAAGACAATTCACCCGCGTACCTCGCGCATGTTGCATGGCTTGTCCCGGGTAAAACTAGGTTTCAAGAAATTAATCACCCACCACACAGTTTAGTCCGATTCCCTAGCTATTTTGTCTAATTCTCAAATTGGAAAAAAGACCTCCAGGAACGAAGATTTTTGAGTAACAAAGAAATGAAGGCGGCGTTAAAGGCTCATTTCGAAGGCAAAGATTGCGAATTTTTTTTCAGTGAGTTAAAAGCTCTTTTACACAAATGTAAGAAGTTCGTTGTAGTAGAGGGAGATTAAATAGAAAAATATAATTTTTACACTTTTCTATCGGTATTTTTAATACCCTAGGCTCAAAACTTTTCAGCCGCCCCTCGTAAGTAGCCAGTTCCTCCGTGGATGAGGATTCCGGGTGAAGCTCGCTTCCACCTTCGGCCTGATCGTCACTGTGTGAGATACAGGCCAAGAGCTTCCTCGTTGTGTATAAAAAAATCGTACGAGAAATGCAATTTAATTCTATTGCTAAAAAAATAAGCTCTTAATAATGGCGCCCTACTCATTATCTTAAAACCACAAATTCTAGATCTGCATAATTTATGAGTTATTATTATGCCAGTAAAGCATGTCAGTAGTTTATCTGCCAGTTACTTTGATCAGCCGCATATCTGACAGTTAGCAGAAAACACAGTATTTTATAGTTAATTAATAGAAATTAGCTATGTTTGCGATAATATTGACAGCTGGGCGCTAGTCGCTATCTATGTACAGTCAGTCTCAATAAATCTTGGCCAACTTGTAAATAAAAATAACTTCGATACCTAAGTCCCTACAACAAAAATACCTGAATTATCAGAGGGTTCTCAAAATATTCTACTTTGCGTTCAAAAATAAGTTTGATCATTGAAATGACTTATCAATTCCTGCTAGTGAAAAGAATAATGCCAATATCTATGGCCGACTGTAGTCGAAAGTTCGTATGGACACATGAATTTGTTGATATTACATCGATTGGGAGTGAGTAACACGATATCATCTTCAATAATAAAATGATCACACTTTTGTAATGTGTATGTAGCAGTGATGTATTTTTTATGCATAACAATATTTCACACATTTGACCGCAATCACACCTGCAGAGATGCAGCCTGAGATGGTAAAATACAAGCCCTGTATTTGTAAGTGCGTATTCGTTCGTTCGTTTCAGCCAAAAGACGTCCACTGCTAGACAAAAACCAAGGATTTCCACAAAGACCGGTCCTGCGCCACTCGCATCCAGGCACCTCCCGCGACCTTCACCAGATCGTCGGTCCACCTAGAGGGAGACCTGCCCACGCTACGTCTTCCGAGTCGTGTGCCTATTCACCGTGTGCCTTTTACAGGATCAGAACAGTCTGATCCAACGCGGGACTACCTTAAATCAGAGTACCTAGGTGTCTATTATAATAGGCACGTAGGCAAGTAGTTTTGTCACGGGAGAGAATGTGTTCACTACAAAACTCGCCTGACTACATAATATAACTTACCTAGGTATATACGATAGTATATTATATATATTCTCAAATCACAGGCTCACGATCGCCACAAATTGCCGTTTACACTAAGTGCACACGGGACTCGAACCCAACATCCTTATTTTGGTAATGGGCCGTAATAGCCCTTCGTTGGGCAACAACTATCATTAGGAGATCCTGAAGGGACTGGGCGTGAGGGTCCGTTCTGGAATCGATCGAATTTTAGATCGTTATTAATTTTTCACATGTCTAGTACTGTAGATAGATTTAACAATTAATTTAGACCACATAATATTTTATGTATTATATTAGATTTTATATTTTTGTATTTGTACTATTTTGCACCGCCTACTTAAATTCTCTGTTTTGTTTAATTTTCTGGTTAGCTGGAAGAGAATGCCACATGGCATTAAGCTCGCCTGTTGTACCACTGTATTTTTATGTAGGTATGCAATAAATATTTTAAATAAATAAATAATACAAGAAAGGAAAGAAATACACACAAAAGAGATGGCACTACTTATTTAGGCGGTCAATCTTCTAAGGCTTGTAATTTTTTATATGCTTAAAATAATGTTTGTGATATGATATCGTGGTAGAGTCACCTCTACAACGTACAATTCAAATGGACCTCACACTTTAAAATACCATTTGTAATGTAAACTTTAGCAATTCACACCATGACAAAACGGGTCTCACAGTGTTTGCTGGCCCTTTACGAATTATGAGAACTCTTATACCAATTTTTTAGAATTACCTAAGCCAACAGGAACTTATCCACTTGACTCGAAAGGTGTTAATCGATAAAACTATTCTTAAAATCATAGTTTTTGATGAATGTTTTGAAGAGGTGGAATTAACTTAATATCTTTCTTGGATTTGGAAAAACCTATCATGTAGAGTCTTTCTACTCTACCCATATAGAGTCTCCCACCCATTTAGTCTTTAGTTTATTTGTATCATCCTCATCATCATCAATATGTATTTCAGCCGCATGATCTATTTGTCTATCAAAATGTCGATCGTATCATTGATACCACCCCGATTGCATAGGATATGAAACCTTGACACGCTTGCACTACGAAGATTGAGCGTAGAAAATTGAAGGGCTATAAATAACATACCTACCCACATTTATAACTGCTTTTGCCCATAGCTTTGTCTGTTTTGTAGGGAATTTAACGATCGATTTATAAAAATCGCCAGTAAGTCATTTTCTAAATATTTAAATTGACTTTTAAAATTACTTGAAAAGTTTTATGTAATTTAAAATTTAATTGAATATGGTATATAAACCAAGTAAAGTATAAGTATTAAAATAAAAAAAGTGGAAAAAAAGTCTTAACTAATTTAAACCTGCTGCCCTAGACAAAACGCACTTTTTGATCGAATCGAAAATCGAATCCGTCAAAACTGGGCAAAACAAAAAAGGGGCTTTTCGACCACTTTTCGACTGGTTTGCGATTATAATTTGCACTTTGTCTAGACCCACTGAACCACTAAGGCCGAGTTGCACCCACACTTTGACGATAGCCGGTGATTTTTGTATAGAGTTTGACAGATATTTTGACGTTTGTCAAAGTTAAAGTAAGATGGCGTGGTAACCCAGCCTAAGAAGTTACTGAGCAGATTAACCTTACTATCCCACTTACTACAAGATTTTTTTTCAAAAATGAGGGAAAATAATACAAAAGTATTTTTAACAATATTTTAATATCCGTAGTAGATTAAAATTAATGGCACCATCTATTTACAAGTTGCATTTTCGTCAATATATCTCATGTCATGCATGAGACTCGGTGAACTTACGTAATATAAATTACTTAAGTATAAAAAAATACACTAAATTCAATACTGACCGTTCACTACTTCGATACATTATTTACATTAAATTAAATAAATTATATCCTAAAACTAGGTATAGCCGCAGTATTTAATAATAACTTAAAGCTATTCGCACGTTGATACACATTTTTCTTGTGAAGACTGGCTTATGTTTGACATTTTTGTTGAAGAGTATGATTTTGTTATGATGAACAGATCATTCTAGTATAGCTATTTTTACCTATAGCTATATGAGATGATAGTAAGTAGGTAAATATTGTAACTGCCACAAAAAAGAGTCTCATGCCCGTTTTCACTTTCAATCCCTATTTTTTAAGTGACCCCTATGTAAACAAAATTCCTGTTATTTGTTACCATAGGGGTCACTTAAAAATTAGGGATTGATGGTGAAAACAGGCATCAAAGTCCGCTCTTGCGTATTGATTACTTAAAATAGCACTACAGTTAGGCTCAGTTGCACCACCTAATTTTGACCGTAACTTTAAATAACCGGTGTTTTTTTGTATGGAGTTTGACAGATTTTTGACGTTTGTTAAAGTTAACTTAAGATGGTGCAACCCAGCCTTAGTGTCAAATAGTTCGTGACACCCAAAGTGACCAAAAAGTTAACACAACCTTAGTAACAAAGACGTAGGTATTGCGAACTTTGGGTATCACAAACTACTTGTCGTTGACTGTACATCCTATTAATATTATAACAATTTAAATTTCACGCGGGTGAAGCCGCGGGCAAAATCTAGTAAGAAATATTTAGCCCTTTAACACTACATTATTGAGAAATGTCCTTTGAAAGGTATCACATCGCAATATTCTTAATTGCTTCACTGATCTATGATGCAGTCTTCTCAAGTCTTTAATTAATTAATTTACCTACAATTTAATTATATTGTCAAGGCGATCCTACGCTTGTTTGCGAGTCGAATACCAGAGTCCTGACGGAAGACTGGGTGGGAGAGGATTCTTCTTTGTTGCTTGTTCTTGAGAAGTTCTTGCAAAGGACTACGGCCTGAAAAGAATAGTTAAATATTATTTAGGTGCATTTTTAAATGTAACCACTTAAAGGCAGAGACGAAAAGTTCTAAATATGAATAAACGTACCTATACCTACTGCGCGAAGGAAGATTTAATGAACACTACTGACAACACCACTCTTGAAGCAGAGTTTTGGGCTGATACTGTGTCAAGACGACAAGAACGTGACAAGTGTATAGATAACTATAATAGACCGAGCAAGTAAGAACTACGTATAAAGGAGAAAGAATAGGACGATGGTGGTTTATGATCATCAGACAGCCAGAATATAAAGAGGTACCTAAATAAAAGTAACAATGACCACTGTGGTCTATGGCAGACTGAATTTAAAAATAAAGACGATAAATCAACTTACCGCATAGAAAAAGGTGGCAAAACCAATGAAGAACCCAGCGAGGACGTCCCACCAGTGGTGCCTATGGTCCGTGATCCGGGACAAGGAAGCCAAGGCTGCGAAGCTGACTGCAACGAACTGGATGCAGGGGACCACGAAGACGGTGCGGTGGCGCCAGTCGAAAGCCCTCTTTTGAACGTACCACTGAAATTAGAAAGAGCAAGTTGTAAGGTGCCATTTGGAGTGTAAAAGCCCGTAAAAGCGCATTTTAAAACTCTTTTGCAGGAAATCAATGTCATGAATTAAAAATTACCTCTTGAATGTACGAGTAACTAGGAATAGAAAAGATTGAATTAAAACAAAGACTAATTAAGTTTAAAACTTTGATTGAGACTGTTTTTGTTATTTCATGATATTTGTAACTGATGATAGTACTTTTGTGAAAAGTCCAGTGCTTATAATTGAGAGCTACAAAACTGAGGATATAGCCCTGGTGTTTCTACTTTTTAGCCATCAAAAAAGTGTAACATGGCTCAATCGGGCTGTCTAATTTGAATAAAGCAAATTATGACACTTGCGCGAAACTATGAGTAGTTTCCCCGCACTGCCAATAGATGGTGCTGCTCGTACAATAGATCGCAGTAACAAGCACAACTATGCTGTGGAATAAGTAACTTGAAATCAACAAAACTGTAAAAGTAACTTACCGCAATGAACAGTCCACAGTGCACAGACAATGAGGTATGGCCTGAAGGAAAGCTGTGGTGGGCATCATTCTGCATCCACCAGGAGAATCTCTTCGATGTGCATTTGTAAGTAGTTACGAATTCATTTCTGAAATAAAACAATTTTATGTCATTGATATGGTTTACATAAATAGTAGAGATGAAACGGATATCCGGTAACTATCCGGTAGGCCGGATATCCAGCCTAAATTTACTATCCGGCCGGATACCGGATAGTAACTCACTATCCGGCCGGATACCGGATATTAAAAAACTACGACAATTTCCTATTAATAAAATGAAATACATTAATCTTTGAGGTAAATATCAATAAAACGGCTTATGATAATGACGGCTTTTATTTAAAGTCCAAAAAGTTATAAAAAAGCCATATTAAGGCGTTTCAAAAAACTAATTTCTTTTTCTGGGCTATTCACTCTAATGACGAATACATAAATAGTAAATATCTGTAAATGTCGAAATATTGCACTGATGGTCTGATGACGTGATGCATGCAGTTCAGTCAGATTACGCAGCAAGTAAACTAATTTAATTTTCGCTATTCAATCACACACTCACGATAGCAACCGAAATCGCCCGAATTGATCTGCCCCCTAATCTAGTGGCAAAATCTGACATTCTATTCGGACGGATTCGATTTTCGAAAAGTTAACTAGTCTAGTCTACTAATAGACCCACTGATGGCGTTAAGCACCTGTGCGGCGCTAAACTCGTCACGACATGAAACGAGACAATGGGCCAACTATCCGGCCGCCGGATATCCGGCTATCCGGCCTAGCAGCTGGCCGGATATCCGGTATCCGGTATCCGGCCAAACAACTATCCGTTTCATCTCTAATAAATAGTAAAAGTGACTCTACAATAGTACTTTAGTGAGATATAAACAAATAAACAGCCTGTCTTAGCACTTATATTATTAAGCTCTTAAGAAAACCTATTCTTCAAAAACAAAGAAACCTAAATTCTTACCCATTGCAAGTCTTAGCAGTATCCGGCTCGCACAGATCGAAGAAGGTAGGCCTGGGGCTGCCTGCGAGGCCTTTCATGACCTCAATGACGACGAAGTTGAAGATCAGCCCGTAAATATAGCATTTGTATACCAGGAGGCACTTGATGAAGGCTTGGCGGAGCCTCGCTTTGTAAGAGTAGTCCGAGTCTGTGAAGATGAGTTCGGTGATGAACATCTGGAAAGAATAAATGAGGTTACTGAGAGCTCTTAATACATAGAAGCATATAGAGCTTTTGACACATAGAAATAGCTTCATATTTTATTTAATAAACCATGTGAAACCTTAAAGGTAGGGCCTACAGACTGGTGTTATTTTTCAAATTTTTAATGAACTGTGACCTCAGGTCACAAACTTGATCACAGCAACTTATGAACCTCCATAATGTGTTAAGTGAGACTTAAGCCCAAGTAGGTAATTTATCTCAGTTTCAGAAACTCCTAGTAAAATGTATAGTTCCCCGTCATTTGTTTACTTAGTTAAAGTGGTAGAATCTCATCTTAATCAAAGATAATTTCCTGCCTCGAAGGATATTTCCTAGTAGGAATATGAGAGATCCTCACAAAGTAGGTATATGAGATGCCAGTGAACACACATGCTGACTAATTTCCTTATAGGCCAGTACAATTAAACACAAAAATTGANAGCATAGTCCGATGTTTTAGCAAGCTGAAGTGATGGGCAGCATTTTTTTCTCGTAATATTTTGATAACTAATATTGTTTTCATAACAACAGATCTTTTTTTTTGTTATAATATGATTATTTTCTTAATATAGAGCCAATTGTACATAAAGATTTTAAATTTTATTGCTATTTTTGATTAATATGTAACAAATTCTGATTCATATGGGCACAAAATATTTAAACGTCGATATCTTGAAAACTACTTTACAAAAACGAGTCCCTTATCCAAATATATCTTATTGGGTGTACCTATTTTCATATGAGTCTATGTTACAGACCTAAAATTGAATTTGAAATTTGTCCATATGAATCAGCCGAAGAATGCAATTTCGAAGAAGTGCCCTTGTCCAAAACATATGAATTTGGTCTTATTCAATGCAGGATTAAGTGCCCTTCAACCGTCATGAAGACCACTTTTTGATAGGGTAATTCCTTTACGCGGTATAACCGGAAAACCGAAAAAATGCCCCTTTCGGGGGCCCCCACCACTTAAGCACAACTCCGTCGAAGTCGAAAACTTAGGAGAGTTTTAATGGGCAACCAATGAAGCCATTAAAACAATAAAATCTTTTGTAGGAATTATTTCCGATTTAAAAGCTAATTCTACTGGACTATTACTGGAACTTTATAATAAACTTTATTCAAAAAGAGCTGTTCAAAATAAATTGAGAAAAATTACTTTTTGTGACAGTTCGATGATTCAGTGATAGTGACAGACTAATCTCTGACGCTATGCAGTTATTACTGGTTGTTGCCTCAGCAGTACAGTTCCGTATATGACCTATGTCAGTCACCTATTAACTAGTTTATAAAGAATGACACTAGGACGGCTAACGACCGACATCGGTAATTGTACGGACTAGACAACTAGTGCGTATGAATGAATGTAAATAGCCTACTTCTAATGTTATTGTAACACTTTTATATTTTGTTAGGAGTGGATTCATCACAGTAGTTGACTCAGTAACTATGTATTACAACGAGGATCTCAAATCGACTACATTTAGATGGATTCCTCAAAAATAAACTGGAACAAATAGTTACACAAAGTAATTTTACACACAATATGCGTCCCCCTTGCAAATCGAACCCTGAACTACCCAGTTGGGAGCATCTAATCATTAGATTACGAGAGCATAACAACTGGAAACTTGGAAAGTGATTTACAAATACGTTGAGCATCGCTCTTGAGAATCGAACCCTGAATTTCCCAGTCGACAGAATCTTACTATCTAGATCACGGTCTTCTTATTTGCCTGGCCCATTCCCATTTTATTTGGGATCGGTACCGTCTCCAGGCGGCTCGGTTCTGGGTCGTCTCACTGTTGACTTGGGCCTCTTTAAAGTCCTTGTTTACTACGGACATCCATGTAGCATATTATATTTTATTATTTAATAACTTACCACTACAATGGGAGCGAAGAATATCACGGCTATGAGGACGCCCGTAGAGACTGTGTCACCGTTGAAAGGGAACGACAAGGATGGGTCGCCGCACACGAAGCCAGCCTTGTGACTCGGGATGAAGCCCAGCTCGAAGAGGCCGATGAGTGCCAGGACTGTGGACAATGAACACAAGCATAAAATAAATATTGGTCCAATAATTCCCATAGGCTAAGAATTCCCACTTCGTAAGGAATACATAATTCTACCCCAAAAACTCAATTAGGTTTCAATTGACCGTATCGTTCGTTTGTTTCAGCCAAATGACGTCCACAGCTGGACAAAGGCCTCCCCCAAATCTTTCCACAACCCACGGTCCTGCGCTGACCGCATTCAGGTACTTCCTTCAACCTTCACCAAATCGTATCCATCATCGTATTGAAATATTTAAAAAACCATTCATCACCATCATCATTATCATTGTCAGATCAACCAATCTCTTCCAGGAGGCAGGACCCTCTCTAATATACTAAGGCAAGTGATTATCCATCATTACGAATCCATAGCATTCCACTCATCCATCATCATTTTTCAGCAAATGGCAATCCATTACTCTAAATTATGACCTCCCAATTTTGTCACTTTTCTCTTTCGCTCATCCCTTCTAGAGGTAATCAGACACTACATTTGCTGTGATATAAACAAAACAGTCAAAAATCGATTGTCCCTTTATCCTGTAGACTAATCAACCGAAATAGGCGACCCGTACGTTCAGTGGGCAATCATCTCCCCTAATCTATTACGTAAAGCCTCAATTGGCCGTCGTGAACGACGATTAGTGACGTAACTACTAACTAGTTCCTGCACGTTGCCCACCGCGTGTAGACGGGAGCGTGCTCGGGCACATTGCTGGCATAGAGTAACAAACAACACTAGGTGAGACAGAAGGGTCTAACCGGTCTAACGCCAATATTCACAGACATTACTAAGAGGTCTCACAGTGCGCAGAATCAATCACAGAGCTCTATTCAACGCTGTGCGTTCGATTTGCTGCTTCACATAAGCAAGCAACGTTTGTGAATACGGGCGTAAATTAGGTACAAACATCACACAACTAATAGTACTGTCAACCCCTCGCGGTAAGCTTACTTAGTTTGGGTTAAGATTCACCACAATATTCTGCGCAGCGGGGTACACCCGCATTTCTCGGATCGATTCAATCCAATACCGACACCATAATAATGCTAAATAGAACATGAAGAACCTCCAAAAACTGTTAGATGACTAAATAAGAACAGTCTCTGGGTGACGAACGCCGTGAGGACGAAAATGGAAATTGTAGAGTCTAGGCAGATTTTTATGTTTGTTTCGAGGATTTCAATTTATTAGTCTAAAGTGTCGTGTTGTATAAAACTGCATTTAGGTATAGTGACTAATAAATGATGGAAAAATGAGTAATTAAAGTATTATCATGTGCGTTTATAATATCTATAATTACTGGTCGGTGAAGTCACTCAATTGAAGTCTTAGACGATGAAATGATTTATTTTCAGCAGTAAACTTTATTGACAAAGGTAGATATTTAATGACATTCCAAACACGACAGACATGTAAAAAAATTAGGTGTCATAATAATATCGTCATTTTCTATTCTGCGTCTGAACTTAATCTTTGTCCGCCAGCAGCAATTGCTATAAACGGTACTCCAGTTTCTACTGCACCTTTGATATTGTTGTTTTGCGGGCAAACATCTTATACAAGCAATATGAGATCGTAAACATGGACTTTAGTATAATATTACATTTCGATTAGAATCCATAACAAAAATAAACTTGTTCTAGAATGTGGAGTCAGTTGAAAGGATGTAAAAAACGTGTTAACTAAATAACTGTAAAGAAATTAGTTTTATAGTATTTCTCATTTTTCTTAGTTTTTTTAAGCTAGTAGGAATATTTAACAATACTAATAATTTAAATAGTTCAGAGTTAGTGGTTAGATAGAGCTAGAGTTTTTTTTAATACAGTCATATCGAACATAATTTTTGACGATTCTATGATTTCATAATCATTAAAAACTCATTTTATTTTTGCAGGTAGGGTTTTAAAATCACTTTTCACGTTGTTTATTATACTCATAGGAGGCAGGGCAAGCTTAATGTATTTAGGACGTGTAAAATTAAATGCCCTGAAAATTCCATAATTATTATAATTTTTTGAATTGTACACAATGTATGAAACAATCACTTTGTATACGGAACCACACACCAAATTGGCAAATGACCCGTATTGACATTGACTTTGAACTTGCCAGGAGGAAGTGGGGATTCGGCGGCAATTGGCTAATGCCAGTGCCAACGGCCACCTCAGTGCCAGCCGCGAAATGCGCCTTAAATGGGGAAGCGGTTACGGGCACTTGCTCTGTCAGATTATATTGAGAGTTATAGCTTGCCTTTTGATTACTTCTTTGTTATTCAGCCATAATAATATAATTATATTTTATTTTTGTGAGTTTTTTTCCATATTAATGTTCCCTTACTAAAACAAGATCGTTACTTATTACAATGTATTGTATTATAACAAATTGTAGAGCGCATTCAAAATCAAAAATATCAGATTGTTGACACAAAGATTTCAATTAATTTCAGGATAACGGTTTGGTTTATAAGTATGCTGATCCAAATTAATGTTATACTAAAAACAATCTCTTCTTCTTATTGTTTCGACAACAAACCTAAGTAAACAGTGTCAGCCCAAAACTCCGCTACAAGAGTGCTAAAAAATAATAGTTCTAAAAAGTACTAAAAACAACGTTACCTATATCTTGTTATTTCATTCAATATAAGTGATAATAACAAGTCGTAAATATTGGAATAACATAGTTACACTAATCTCGCGTTTGCTGTAACTAGTCTTTCTACTCGCCGATAGATGGCGCTAGTGCATCCGATACAGCTTTTACATGAATTCGAATCCAGTCAATGCTAAATAAATATACCGACAGTAATTAAATCAATGTACTAACAATAATTATTTATAATAATTAGTGACGAACATGTAATAGGTTTTTATACAAATCATTAATGTTGTAATAGTGAATGATTCATTAAACCTACTCATAATAGATTTATTAGGTAGGTACCTATATTGTACAACTAATTTGAATGCATTTACTCCTGGCAAGCAATTACTGATGACACGGGAAGAACTATCAATTGAAATTTATTTTTAACTTAAGTGAAAATTACACGGGTGTCAATCCTGAGAGCTTTTTGAATTAAAATGCACCTACTATGTTTCTATCTTATTTATCGAATCCCATGGGACCATTTATGACCATAAAATGAAATTCCCTTTTATGGTACTTTCGATTATGGCTTCGATGTCCAAATTAGGCGCCAACATAAGTAATGATGGGTGAAAGTTACGGTGTATGGTAATAGTCATTTAGAATCTCCTGTGGTTAACTAACTGATATTTTAAATGTGATGTTGATTAAAATACCTAATTATAATTAGTAGATAGACTTACAGATAAACAAAGCTTCCGTGGTTTGAGAAATGGAGTCTCTTAACTTTGTGGTTCCGAGTTCGTTAAAAAAAAACTAAGTCAAGTTTTTTAGACATTGGTGAAGATAAAGACCTACATCATCAAATGGACACCCAAAGTTGCTAAAAATTTCGCAACACGGTTACAATTAAAACAAGATTGAGTTGTCAACTTTTTGGCCATTTTGGGTGTCACGAACTATTTGACACTGACTGTACTATCCCGACTACGCGACTGTCCGAAAAGTATTATGATTAAAACTCATAAAACTCATTTATTTCTGTAAGTAGGCTTTAAAAAGCACTTTTACATGTCCCAGTATTAACCCTACCACTGCTTCAGGACAATAAATGGGCCAGTGCTGAGAAGAAGCAGCGCAAGAAACTCAGACACTATTGTCAGCCTCTTTTTCAAAGGTTTACAAGCTTTAAAAATAATAGTTATAAATGCGAGCTATGCAGTTACGCATAGCTTCAGAGCTTATTATGCTGTCGTATGATAGAGCTTAGCATATCAGCTTAACGCCTATGGAGGCACATGAAGGCGCTACCAGTTTTTTGTATTAAATTCTACTTAAACATTAACTGTTTGATTTTTTCCAAGAGAACAGAGTAGCATATAACAGCAAAGTTTATAATAACAAACAAAATGTACGGACAAAAACTCGTCTGACTTTTTGCAGTTCGAATTCAAGTCATGCAACCAATCGAGTTGGACACCTTTTTTATGCGATAATATGCGTCGTCCATAAAAGGATCTCCTTTTTAAATCAATGGACGATTAAAGTTTGTTGAACTGAGAAACAGACAGTCAAGTTGGCTTGGTGTAGCGATGCGCACCCATTTTGAGGCGCACCTAAACATTCCTCGAAGTGCACCTGTATTTTGTTGCCCTGGTAGTCCTGGTACTTATTATTCATCTTAGTAGAAAATAGAAATACAGTTTAAAATCTTTACAATAGTAGAAGTAGGTGCGCTTCTAGGAATTGTATAGGTGCGCCTCAAATTGGGTGCGCTCCTATGTTCTGTTGCCCTGGTAAGTACCTTTTATTCATCTTAGTCGAAATTAATTCTAAAATCATTACTTTGTAAACATAGGTGCGCTTCGAGCAAATAGTTTAGGTGCGCCTCAAAATGGGTGCGCTTCAAAGAGCATGAACGTTTTTACAGTGATTTGTATGATTTTAGGCGATTTATTCTTGCGAAATTTCTAACTTCTAATTTATCACGTTTATATTTATTTTTAATTGTTTACACAATCGCGATTTCACAGTTAAATTTATTATGCATGCTCGTTTGATATAATTGTGGCCGCTCTCAAAATAATTGCTTCCTACAATGCCGGCATCGCGCGATGGCATTTTTTACAGATATTTGAAATATTTGCCCAGAAAAATATAAACTATAAGTGTTACTTACCTACTTAGGTATTGTGATTTTTTTACGATTATTATTGTATTGATAAATTAATTGGGTAGAGTCACCACACAAATTGAAAGCCTCAAGATATTTCAGGCTGAAAAGTTGATAAATCAATAGAAAACGGGAGTCACAACACGCAACAGTAAGTATCAGATCTGTTTTTAATTGATAACATACACTCAGATGCACTGTTAGGTATTTCCATTCCAGAGTCATAATATGACTTAAAAAAAGTTTAAAATATAGGTAGGTATTATATTTTTTGTCATCAATGTACAAGCTCTGCTTTTAGGACAATCGGCGTTTTATGACAACATACGAGTAGTTACTATTATAACTTGCATGGTATACTAGGTACATATTGTATAATTATGACTAAATAAGGTGAGGTGTAGTTAACGCCTTTCTTCGTAAAGTATTTCATGTGAATTATCGGCAAAACATAATAACTTAATAACGCACAGCTGTCGTTGCGGTAAACGGACGGAGTCATGTGCGTTCTGCGAAGTTGAGATTGCAATGCGATAATTCGAAAAAGGCTGATGTGTATAATAACAATATTAATTTATTATTATCTTTCGCTGACCACGATTGTCAGAGCAAATATTTATGTTTAAAAGAAAGGTGTTATTATTTTTGGTACGCAACACAGTCTTAATACCTATGTTTATTTATTCGTTTATTAAAATGTGTTTTTGGAAGTCGTATCTGTACACTAGTAAGTCTTAAAAGTCATATGTTTTCAGCACATAGGCTTTTAAAAAGCGCTTTTACACGTTAAGGTTTAACACACAGAGAGTGTCAAACTATAGTACATACAACTTAATACCCATATTTTTTTTAATTTGGATGATTTACATACATTAAAGATTAATCGTGCGATGTGGAGTGGAAGTCATTGGGGGAGGCCTATGTTCAGCAGTGGACGTCCTAAGTATGGCTGAAATGATGATGATGATGAAAGATTATAAAGAAAATTGTTTTATTTGATCAGTTCCTAAATCTTCTTGTCGTGTCGACAACTAGGACCTATACAGTGTTCCTAAATAAAAAAGAATATCTAACTTAATTTTTAGTAAAAGTAATGGTGTAGTCCCTGCCTTATCATCGAAAGGTAACTCGTTAAAATGTAAATGAGAAGTGTGTGACATTAGGCGTAATGTCCACAAATGTAAAATTGTTTTAATTAATAAACCAGCGTGACTTATGTCATATTATTATGTGTACACCAACGCTGGTAATGATACGACGAAATTAAATTTTAATGAGGATGATTATTTTTGTGTATGAATATTTTAATTGGTGTCCACAATTATTCATGGGCGTATTGATGAAAAAAATCTATCATTTCAATATTGTGGTTTACTTATACAAAATTAAATGTTGTATAAACTACAATTTATACCTAGGTTCAGTCTTAAGTGCATATTAATTCAAAACAACATAATAAAACCAACTAAACCCAAATAGTCTCACTTAAGATATAGGTAATAATGTTATCCTGTGACCAATGAAAATCCTCAATACATGAATGGAACTGAATCGAGTTTCAGCTTCGTTTTAAGTTTAATACTCATTTAAAACATGACGTCATCTAATTGAAACTCAACTCCAATTAATTTCTATATAAACTACGTATTTATACGTCAATTTTACAAACAAGCTATAAAATTACGTACATATTATACGCATGTGCGTGTACTCATGCATTTGCGTCATAATCTCTGCATTAAAAGAGCAAAAATTTTAAAAGTTCGTTGCCAGTATCAAAAATCTTTTTATTTTATTTTTAAAACTTGCACACTGCGATTGCATTGCCATGCGTTCGCCACGTGTGTCACATTTAAACCTCTTTTTAAATTCTTTTGCCGATTATCCACATCTGTAGAGAATAAAATTTTGTTAATCTGTTTTTAATGGACCTTTTAATTGATTTTTTACTATTTTCGGTCTTTTTCGATGCGGTGGTAAGGGGTTGATGTGAAAAATATGACGCTCTTATGATGGAGTGTATTTTAGAATTTTTCTAATAAAACTATTTTGTAATAAAATAAGTGACTTTACCAAGTTAGGCCTAATTTGGCATCTCTACGTATAATTATTTTGAGTGTCAAATAATTAATTACTTATTTTCCTTAAAAAAACACCTAAATACTGAATCTATGCACATTAATCTAAATCGATATTCTATAGTTAATCATCAAGATAATTTAATCGATATGAATACACTCATATAAATTTTGTTATAAACAAAACAAGAACGTTAAGATTTAACTGATAAAAAGACAGCTGCGTGTAACGCCGTCTGCTTATTTAGCAGATCGAAAATGTTCTTTGATTCTTTGTTATAAAGTATAAAATAGTTTAACATTATCAATATCTTAATTTCAATAAATTACTTATTCGAATATTATGTTAGGTATACATCACTTCTGTCGAAGTTTTTACAATGAAAGGTATTCATTACTTTTTATCTCACTCACCTATTGACAGTTTTGATTAAAATGTAATTTATTTAAAACAAGTTTACAACTTAAGCCCGTGTTTTCATCCGTGTGAACTATACTTAAGTTAGTTACTCTCGTTTTCAGTTGATAAAATAAAAATCACTACTTATATTGACATTAAAAGTTAATAGACCAACAAACTGCTGCAACAACAAAATATTTTTTAACTCATTCTTTTAAACTTAAATTACGTAATATCTTAGTTCCCGTAATGATTTTGTATGTCACTTCAATGGATTATAAATCAATAAAAAAGAAATTGCTATCATGAAGAAGTAAATACATAAATAATTCATTGCGATAATGACTATAAAGCTATCTCTACATATTTATCTTTCAGATAAAATAACACGTGTTTAATCTATTTCGATAAGATAAGATTCTACTTAGAGCAAAAAAATAAACAAAATACCTTAAAAAATAATCCTCTAAATATTAATAAGTCAAAAACTTTAAACTGATAGAAATTGAAACCATAATTTACAAAAAGATCGCCTTATCTGAGGTATTGGTTCTTTCCATGGGGTATTTGAATACTTGTTAGGTCATTGTATGTAAATATTGTTTAAGTTGTTTACATAAAAATAATCTTTTTTTTTGTTTACTATGATTGTTATTAACTTATGATTGTGGGTTATCTAAAATTTAGATTCTAAATTAAGAACAAAATACCTTAATAACCCCATTTTAAAAAGCCTTAAGTTCTAATAACCATAATTTTAAAATTAATTCCTAAACATCGACATAACAACATAAGACAGTTGCGTCTCTACATTGAAAAAATGGTGCTGTTAAATTTTATATTAAAGCTCCTTTTTAAAAGCTCCTTTGTAAATAAGGAAGCTTTTATGAAGAAAAGCTCACAAAACTTACCGACACATAGTAGAGGAACGTCAATCAGTAGTGTCCACCAGTAGCTATGTCGTTTTGTGCCTTCTTTTTGTGACTCCACGTCTTTCCTCTGTGGACAAACAAATATAAAAATATAGTATTTACAGTCACATATTCCTAACATTTTTAACGCAACAAAATAAGTAGATACATCATTTTATTAATGAGAGTTTTGTAAAACATTCACAATTGAACTTCGTAAATAGATGATTAGCATCCAAACAATGTATGTTATTTTAAATAGGTAGACAAACTTAGTTTAATATTATTTTAGACACTTTGAAATAAGTTTTAATTTATAACCGTAAATAATAACAACCGGTGCGTGTCCCTAGTAAATATTAAAGCAGAAACTCCTTTAAACTTTGAATAGAAATAAACAGGCACATTTGGGGACTTTGAGCCACCCTTCGAAAGGTAAAGGTCACCAGCCAAACTTTAAAGTCCCTGGTACTAGGGTTACCATCAGGAAATTCCGGAAAAAATCCGGAAATTTTTGAAGTCCGGTAAACTGGTGGTTTTTGATGGTTTTAACCATAAAATTTTGCCAAAACGAGACATAGATTATATCTCGCATTACGAATCAGTTCTCATGTAGAGTCAAGCTTCTAGCTCTACATGCCTTAACTCAAGAAGCCTAAACTAAGCTAACTCTTACTTACTACTTACTTAGTCAAAAGTTATTAGTGGCACCCGGTTTTGATAAAGGCTTGTCTTGGCGGGGACACTCCTGTGCCCCTAGATCCCTACAGTGACATAGTGTTATCTGTGCTTAAAAAGGTTTGCGCCCAGTTTGTTTTAATCTAAGGCTCTAACTAGCTAACTCTAAGGAAAATTCCAGTTCCAAAGCCAAAATTCCGGTCAAGTCCGGAACAATAAGTATTGGTGGTAGCCCTACCATGTAACTTTGATCATTATTCGTATCGACCCGCCAAGGCTGACCTTCGGCCATTTGACCTTCGCACTTGAAGGGAAGGGGTGAGAGACCTTGACTTCTTGGATTGTATTTTTGTACTTCAATGCCAACATAATTAGTAGGCTTTCGAGTTAAGTATGTCATTATTGACGATAAAATTAATGATACTGGCTGTTAACGAAAATTTGACGGTTAAGGGCTCTTTCATATTAAACATTTTGAAACGGACGTTATTGTCGTCCGTTTGCAAGACCGCACACTCTGTTGGTAATTGACTGTAATTTTTAGGGTTCCATAGCCAAATGGCAAAAAACGTAACCCTTATAGATTCGTCCGTCCGTATGTCACAGCCACTTTTTTCCAAAACTACGAAGAACTCAAGTTCTTCAGATCGCTGGGAACAAAACAGAAGGGTGATTCCATACTTTTTCTCATACGTAAGTTTTATACTTACTTAAAATATGTCATCACGTCAAACAAATCTAAATCCGGCTTTATAAACTGCACAACATGCTGTAAGCGCCATCTATTGATGAGTGTTACATGCAGTCTCCAATAGATGGCGCTGTGTCCATTTAGATCGCGGTATCATTTGATTTTTTCTCGACTTTCAAGACAAACGTAGATTGTTCACCATAACAGTATTCGCAATCTATGAATTTTTCAATTTTTGAAATCGTCCACTTCTTTTTAAGTGGACGACGTTAATTATGTGCCTTATTGCAAATAATTGAAGCGATGAACACTGGTTAACATAATGAATTAACTTAAAATGATCTCATTGGAGGTCAATACAAGTGAATTAAGCAAGGAAGTTTACCCGAAGTTTATAGTTTCATATTAGGCATGTTCATAATATAATAGGTTATGGTCTTACCATTGGATGTAGATTAAGCATTTTAATAATTAATATCCTTGGACATTTTACACTACGCTTCTAGTCCCAAACTAAGCAATGCTTTTACTATGGGTTCTAGACAACGGATATAAACATACTTATACATATATACTATTTTTGTAAATACATACATAATAAACACCCAGATCCATCACAGAAATTAAAATTTATCATTTCAATTTCTGCCCGGCCGGGAATCGAACCTGGGACCTCTCGGCATAGTAGTCCGTTCTGACCAAACGGCCGACATGATGAAAATTTATTTATTTACAACTAGCTGACCCGGCGAACTCTGTTCCGCCTTAAAGGCAATAAATAAGCCATCGCAATTTTTCCTTATTTGCTCACCGTTTAGACCTACCCTGGACTACGACAAACATTTTAAAACCAAAATCAGCTCAATCGGCCCAGCCGTTTTCGAGTTTTAATCAGGCAAACGAGCAGAAATTCATTTTTATTTATATAGATAGATTTGTAACAAAAAGCATCACAAACAAGTAAAGTTGAAAACAGAAAACACTATTAAAACACGGCACAACATTAAACTCTACATTTTTGTTTCAAAAACGCAAAGCTACACAAAAATGCTAATATCAACATATTTATTTATTTACCGTGCTCAACACAGGAATACTTCCGTACATATCCATGTCGTCTGAACACTAAAACACTGAAAAATATTATTTATTTCTATATTTATTTCCTAATGAAACACATTCACTATACTAAATAACACACATGAATGACTTACTATATTTTATGTTCGATGATTAATTGGAGCTTATCACAAAACATCTGCATCATCGATTTGATAAGACATTGCTAAGTTGAGTCAATTCATGGCAAATAAATAGACAGAAAGTCACGCCCGTATTTACAAACATTACTATGAGGTTTCACAGTGCGCGTGGATGCACAGGGTGACACACAAATAAATCACAGAACTCTATTTAACGCTGTGCGTTCGATTTGCTACTTCACATAAGCAAGCATCGTTTGTGAATACGGGCATTAAACTCAATCGAACAAAGCAAACACTGTTCTATTTAATTTTGCAGTAAATTTTTGGCACCCCTAAAAACAACAATTTGACAGCTAAAAGCTTGGAGTTAGTAAAAACGGAGCTATGAATACAAATTAAAAAATAAGGGAAAGTTGGTATTTTCAATGGAACCGATATTTTTTTAGTTTAATATTGAGCGTCGTTGCAGGTTACGAATCTTACTGTTTTGTAGAGTTTGCTCATTATCTTCTTTAATTTTTGATCGTGAATATTGAAAAACTTGGCCATTATTTACAATCAGATATCAATATTAGCTTTTTGATAACGATACCTCGGCCATTAGTCATTTCAATGCGCTTGAATTTCTTTAGATATCACTTACGCAGGAAATACCTCTGAATAGATAAATCAACAACGTCAATGATACGTATAAATTATGCGTAATTTTTGTCAACTTTTCCGGAAAATTATTGAAAATTATCATCATCATTATCGGATCATTTAGTATCCACTGCGAGAGTACTAGGTACTACTTTCTAATGTACAGTCACGGAATGAAAAGGTTCGTCAGTTTTCAAATTGATTCCTTCAACGAATCGCGAGCACATATTACCTTTTGAAACTATGTTACAGAATAATCTCGAGTTAGAGAAAATAATCTTTAACTGTTCGTCAGTAAAGTTCAAAATTATTCAGATCAAAGTTGTTTGACGATTTATCTTGTCAAGAAGATTATTATGATTGATAAACTAAAACCTTCTTGTTGGTTCAACCTGCCATTATTATTTCTATTAAATAAAAAAAAACTATTGTCAATTGGTCAATGTCATCATTGCATTGCACTGATGGGATAGAAAAATAAACAAGCAAAACCTTATTTGTTAGCAAACGTCATATTTATTTAAATGTTAGCAGCTCTGTTTCTTGCACTGTTATGTTGGCAGGTTTGACTCTTACAGTACCTAGTGCAAGCGAAAACCGACACTAAGTTGACGAACCTTTTCATTCTGCGACTGTACCAGAGGCAAAATGGAGAACTTCAATCCCCGAATAAAAACAAAATACATCAGTGGCAATGGGCAGGGCACATATGGTACGCAGAACTGACGGCCGAGTGGGCAGCAAGGTTCTGGAGTGGAGGCCGCGTACCGGAAAACGCAGCGTGAGACGTCCACCCACAAAGTTGACCGACGACATCATTAAGGTAGCAGGAAGGCGCTGGCCGCAGGCCGCTACCAACCAAGAGCTCGTGAAGCACTTTCAGGATCAGTAACCAGTTTTTCGATATCTTGTATAGTTTAGAAATAATCGAGTGAGATCACTTATCGTTTCCACCCTGTATTTTACAGTTACATATTTTCTTATTTATCTCTACAACTTTGATTCACGATTGAGTAATATCTTCCTTCATTTGTCTTACTTATAAGAAAGGAGTTAATTATTTATCAGTGTGGTATAATATGCGCTATAAAATAGGAAATCTATGGACTTAACCCTTTAAGTGCACAGCAGTAAATTATAATTGTTTTTTTTTTAAATCTAATGATAAGTAGTTAAAGTCCAAATTAAGGTGGAAATATATTCACCAGAGCCATGTAAAGGCTTAAAGTGAAAACTTTATCTTCAATAGTTTATTATCTCCTACCGCAGGCCGCTACCAACCTGGCAAAATCAAAAACATTAGGGGAGGCCTATGTTCAGCAGTGGACGTCCTGTGACTGAGATGATGATGATGATATTATCTCCTAGTATACAAAGGTGACTGAGTTTCTTCCGCCACTTCTTCTCAGCACCAGCCTATATGTTGTCCCGAAGTGGTGGTTTGGGCAAGCTATATTTCGGACGTGTATAAGTGCCCTGGATAAGGGTCTATGTTCTGATCATCATTTCAGCCATAAGACGTCCACTGCTGAACATAGGCCTCCCCCAATGATTTCCACAATGGCCGGTTGGTGGCGGCCTGCATCCAGCGCCTTCCCGATATTATGTTATGTACTGATATACATATTATGTACTGAATAAACTATTGTATTTGTTTATTTATAAGCGCCCTGAAAAGGGCCTACGTACTGAATAAAATATTTGACTTTGACTATTCAGTTTAGAAGACCCCGCATTAACATTTTCATCTAAGTCTTGAATTTGCAAAATGGCGTACAAAGATTTCTTGTTTTTTCCTTCATGTAGTCTTCCTTCTATGAAGATTATCATGTGTATTTACCTGTTTATCATTATTCCTGCTCCTTCTAGTAA